GACTCAGAAACACTTCAACCAAACCCAGGTTTGTCAGAGGCTTCAGGCAGAGGCATCTAGGAATGAGGCTGCCCACGGGACACCTCACATGTCCCTGATATAATTATTAATGTCACCTGGCATTGTGGTAGGGTCTGAAAATGTTTTTAGAATTGCATACTAAAGGGTGTGTGTGCGTGTGTGTGTGTGTGTGTGTGTGTGTGTGTGTGTGTGTGTGTGTATGTATGTAAAATGACAAAATATCCAGGATTTGCTTTCAGGGGGAAAAAAAAGGATGGAGAAAGTGACAGGGTAAATTTGTGATGATTCTAGAATCTGGCAGAAAAGAGATCATTGTATGTATTGACTTTTGTGTTGGAGATGTTTTCCGCAATTATAAAAAAACTCGCTACTCAAGATGGGATTTACAACCCAGCAACAGTGGCTTCCTTTGAAAAACCAGACTTAGCAAATAAAATCACAGCTGAGGCTGGGCGTGGTAGCGCATGCCTGGAAGTACAGCAGGGAGGTCAGCCTGGATTCCATGGCAAGACCCTGTCTCAAAAACAACCCCAAAACAGGACGTTCCAGTGAAATCAGACTTCAGAGACAACAAAATTATTTGTGAAAACGTGTTGACAGTTTTCTATAAAATGAAGCACGGGGCGTGTCCGCTCCTCCTGACACATAACTGCTGGTGCTCTCCCAACACCTGCTGCTTACAACAGTTTTACTCCTCACAGCCCTGGAATGGAAACAACCAGATGGCTTGTCCTGTTGTATTTTTGAGCATGTCTCCCCATATAGGACCAGCTGTCCTGGAGTTGGGGATCCTCCTGCCTCTGCGCCACCATAGCTAACCAGATAGCTTCTCATGGGTGAAGGTGTCAAATCGACATAAGGGTAACTGTGGAATACTACTCAGCAAAGAAAAGGAGCACATGACGGGCATATGCCACAGCCTGGAGGGGTTTCTAGAGAATTGTAGAGTGAAAAAAGTCAAGCTTAGGTTGGGAAACATGGCTCAGTGGTAGAGCGCCGGCTTAGCATGCATGGGTTCTGCGCTCTTGGTTGTTTTCTACCACCAAAAAGAAAAAAAAAAAGTTAAACTCAGAAAGATATACTGTTAGGTTCTACTTCTATAGCACTTTATTTTGGTGGTTGGTACTGAGGTTTGATCTTGGTCCTCCTAAGCAAGGTGCTTTACCACCTGAGCCGAGCTACCGTTTTGATATCACATTCTATTTTTTTTGTTGTTGGTTGTGGGGCCTGAACTCTGGGCCTGGGCACTGTCCTTCAGCTCTTCAGCTCAAGGCAAGCACTCCACCACTTGAGCCACAGCACCACTTCTGGTTAATTGGAGATAAGAGTCTCACGGCCTTTCCTGCCTAGGTTGGCTTTAAACCGCAATCCTCAGATTTCAGCTTCCTGAGTAGCGAGGATTACAGGCGTGAGCCACGGGGACCCGGCTGATACCACATTCGTAAAATGGCAGAAATGTAGAGATGAGCAGATGAGTGGCTGTTGGGGGACAGAGGAAGGGGGCGGCTATAGAGGGGGCTCAGAGAGATCTCTGTGGACGAGGAAAAGCTCTGCATCCTGACAGACTCATTATGGTAGCTGTGGCACGGGACCAAGACAGAGGCCCTAGCTGGGCTCTGGTTAGAGGAGTCCTCAGCATCTCTAAGACTCTCCACCGATAGAAAAATGAGCCAACAGCCCTGGGGACTGCTGGGAATCCTGCTCCCTGCCACACTCAGAACCTACTGAATGGAGAATCTGGGTGGCATTCAAGTGCAGGATGTGGACCCCAGGGGCTGGGAGCTCCTGTTCAGCCTCAGTTTGTCAGCGTCTGAGATGTTTCTTTGAGTTATATACCAGACTTCAAAACAACCCAATGGATCGTGATTTTTACCTAGGATCAGGTTGTGAAGGACACCCTCCAGGTTCCTCTGTCAGCAGCTTCCTGCTGGATCAAGAGCCCAGGCTCCCCGTGGCCTAAACAACTTTTACACTGTAGCCCCACTCCTCCCGAGACCTCATGTCCACCCTTCTGCAAAGCAACCGCACACAAACAACCAGGTCCACTCCTGTCCTAGGGCCTGTGCACTTGCTATTGGTTCTGGCTGAACACTCCTCCTCCAGAATTTCAAGGGAGGAGCTCTGTGCTTAAAGGTCACTTCTGAAGAAGGACTTTCCAGATCATCTTGTCCACTCTTCCCATCCACAGCAAACCAATTTATTTTCTGGGTACTAGCTGTTCACACCTACTTACACGCACATGAGTAGTTCATGAGAGATGGTGACAGTTCTGAATGAGTTTGAGTAATAAAAAATAAACTCAGGAAAATAAATTAATTCTTTTTTTTTTCTTTTTTTTTCTTTGGCCAGTCCTGGGGCTTGAGCTCAGGGCCTGGGCACTGTCCCTGAGCTTCTTTTGCTCAAGGCTAGCACTCTACCACTTGAGCTACAGAGCCACTTCTGGCTTTTTTCTGCTTATGGGGTGCTGAGGAATTGAACCCAGGGCTTCATGCATGCTAGGCAAGCCTCTATACTAAGCCACATTCCCAGACCTAATGAATTCTTTAAGGATGTGGTTTGTTTGGTGGGGAGAATCTTTAACAAGTAGCCGCGAGGATGAAGGCTGGGGGTCCCATCTCTCCAGCTCTGACCTGGACATCTCCCAGGAAGTCTCACTCTGCCCAGGCCCCGCACCAGCTCATACATTTTATCCCTAGAGCACAGTTCTCCTGTTTCACTCTGGCATCCAAGGCCTTTCCATCTCGCCCCATTTGTTTCTCTAGCATCAAATGACTTTTCTTACAAGCCAAGCCAGGATCTTTCAAGAGGTTGCTCTTCATATCTCTCCTTTATGAATGTGGTCTGCAGGATTTGCCAAAGACAGTACAGGGTAGAGCTGAGTGACAGCTGTGACCTGTGATGTACTGGGAAAGGAACCACACCTTGTGTGCAATATCGCTGTCCTGATCATACAACCCAGTCTAACCACATTCTACAAAACCACCAACTTTTACTCCTTAAAAAATGTTAATATTACCCAGGTGCCGGTGGGCTCACATCTATAATCCTAGGGACTCAGGAGGCTGATATCTGAGGATTACAGTTTGAATCCAGCCTGGGCAGGAAACTCTTAACTCCAATTAATCACCAAAAAGTAGGAAGTGGAGCTATGGATCAAGAGACAGAACAGGTGCTCAGGGACAGCACCCAGGCTCCAAGTTCGAGCCCCAGGACCAGCCGATAAACAAAACTAAACTAAAACTAAAAAAACCTATCCGAGCCAGTGGCTCCTGTAATCCTTGCGACTCAGGAGGTTGCTAGCCTAGGCAGGAAAGAGATTCTTGCTTCTAATTAGCAAAAAGCCAAAAGCAAGCTGGGTGCTGGTGCCTCATGCCTATAATCCTAGATACTCAGGAGGCTGAGATCTGAGGATCGCAGTTCGAAGCCAGCCAAGGCAGGAAAGGCATGAGACTCTAATCTCAGAAAAAGCCAGAAGTAGTGCTGTGGCTCAAGTAGTAGAGCACTAGCCTTGAGCACACAGAGGCTCAGGAACAGAGCTCAGGCCCTGAGTTCAAGCCCCAGAACTGGCACAACATACATACATACATACATACATACATATATACATACATACAGCTCAGGGACAGAGCTAATTCCTGAGTTCAAGAACAATGACTGGTGCACACACGCCCCCCCAACCCCCCCAAAGTAAAACTAAGAATATAAAATTAAGTATGTACGTGAGAATGTTGAAAGGGGTGATATTGGTCAAGATGTGCTGTATTCATAAACTGCTTTGCTGAATGGCAACACTCTGTACAACTACTTAAGGATAATAACAATAATTCAAAAACAATAAATATATAAAATATAATTCCATTTTGATTTCATCTGAGGTCCATAAATGATTTTAAAATGTTTTAAGAATAGCAGATGGGTGAAACTTCAACGTTTACCTGTTCTACCTTTCTACGTCAAGCACAGTGTGATCACAAAGCCTGATCTATGAGATTCTGGCCTGTTTGTATAGTAGCCACTGTGGAAGTACCTCAGGGGTTGTTGCAGCCTACTTACTCACAGGGGATTACATGCTTGGAGGTCTGAGTGAATTTCTGCTTCCTAATCTTTAACCTGGGATTGCTCGATTGTCTCTGCTGAGGGCCAGAGGCCCCAAGCCACCCAAAACCTGAAGCCCGTCCATGAGGTGCTCTGCCTTGGACAGAGGCTGCACTTTGCATTAAGGACTTGCACTGCTGGGGGTCAGAAACACGAGTTCCAGCCATGGCACAGGTCTTTGCCATCCCCATAATCCTGAGGACAAGCCTCAGCCCCTGGCACAGCTTCCAGCCTCAAGACCCTTGCACGCCCCTCCCCCCCCCACGCTAGGTGTCTCAGAGGGCCTTGGAAATCCCCCCAAATCCATGTGAGCCCAGCAAGCAAGGAAAAGGACATCTTATTCAAGAGAGAATTCATCTGCTATCCTGTCGTGCAGGTAGGCAGGAAGTCCTAGGAGGGACAGGGCTAGCAGCTAGGGGCTGGACTCTAGTTGTTTTTTTTTTCCCTTCCTTCCTTCCTTCCTCCATTCCTTCCTTCTTCCTTTCCTTCTGCCCTCCCTTCCTTGCTTTTTTGTTGGTTGTAGGGCTTGAACACAGGGCCTAGGTGCTGTCCCTGAGCTCTTTTGCTCAGGAACACTCTACCACTTGACCCACAGCTCCACTTCCTGCTTTTTGGTAATTCATTGGAGGTAAGAGTCTCACAGACTTTCCTGCCCAGGCTGGATTCAAACTGTGATCCTCAGATGTCAGCCTCCTGAGTAGCTAGGATGACAGGCGTGAGCTACCGGTGCTCAGCGAGGTCTCATTTTTCTTAAGAAGGGAACCAAGGCTCCAAGAGGCCAAAGGACTGACCGGAGGTCCTACGGTATGCACGGGTCCCGCTGGGGGCTGGAAGCCTGTGGCGCAGAGCCCCTGCTGTCCTGGGCGTGTCGCTGGCCTCCTTACCTGGTGCAGGGGGATGACAAGGAAGGCCCCGCCACCAGCACACTCAGTGACGACGGCAATGAAATGGGGGTTCACGGCACAGAAGTGGTTGTCGTGGACGCTGCGGGTGATGGGCACCGAGTCGTAGCAGTTCTCTTTGCTGGCTGCTTTGCCGAAGACGTGGCGGAACTTGGAGCTGCGGTACTGGGGGTGCCATGACATCTGTGGGTGACAAGGGGGACGAGAGGCCTGAGGCTCAATGGAAGTAAGATGACACACCGGGATGGCGGTCAGTGCTACCTGGACAGGTGACCCGCTAGGAAGGCCACCAAGTGAGCAGGCTGTAATTGTGGCTTTTCCTGCTCCCTCAGGGAGACACGCTGGGCTGCTATGCCCAGCTTTTCATCTCTTCAAGTATGTACAGAGAAACCACAGGGGACTTGCCACCCCCCCCCCCCATCTCACCCGAGCCCACAGTGCTGCCCCAGCCTGGCCTCCAGTTCCAGTTCTGCCCTTACCTACTGAATGGGCAAGAGATCTAACCTCCATGTTCTTGTCTGTACAATGGGATAACAGAAGTCTCAGACAAATCAGGTGCTGGTGGCTCACGCCCATAATCCTAGCTACTCAGGAGGCTGAGATCTAAGGATCACGGTTCAAAGCTAGCCTAGGCAAGAAAGTCCATGATATTCTTATCTCCAATTAACCAGCAAAAAGCTGAAAGCAGAGCTGTCTATGGCTTAAGTGGTGGAGTGTGTCTTGAGCAAAAAGAAAAGCTCAGGGACAGTGTGGGGGATGATACCAGTGGTGGGTGAAAGAGAGTGAACATTCTTGCCTTTTGGCCCCAGCCCAACCAGACCTGATGCCTCAAAGGAAAGCTGCAGAAGTGGGAATGAGGTGGCACCCAGCAGGCCTGTGTGCATGGTGCAGGCGTGGGTGGGCATGCGTGCAGGAGAAGCCCGCAGGCGCGGGTTGGCCGTGTGCAGTGTGTGTGCGCATGTGCGTGAGCACCACATTCAGCACTGACTCCCAGGTGAGGACTCCCAAGGGTGTGCACTCAGGGCCAGGGCCTGGCTCTAATGACTCAGCAATCATAGAAGGGAGTTCCGCTTTCTCTGCAAGCAGGAACATGCCTGGGAGTGAGAACTGCACAGCCTGGGGACGGGCAGGGCCCATAGCCAAGCCGCAACCAAGCCTCCTCCGTGGAGCACAGGCCTGATCCCATGCATTGTGCCACCGTCCCACCCGCAGGGGCCCCAAGGCCAGGCTCCTTGGACTGTGGATTGAGCTATGAGTGAGTTTAATGTAGCTCTGTGCTCATTCCTTCATGCCTGGCAGTACAGGGGCCAGGGCCCTGTCCCACACCAGACAACCACTTGGCAGTGGGATCATAGTCCCTGCTGCATGATGGGAAAATGAAGCTGTAGAAAGAGACTTGGTGAACTTCAGATGGGTACCAGCAGCGCAGGTGGACATCAGGCTAAGTCCCTGCTCTGAACAGGATGGTGGTAGTAGTGGTGGTGGGGTACTCTGTGTGTGTGTGTGTGTGTGTGTGTGTGTGTGTACTTAAGAGAGGGGGAAAGAAAGAGAAAAAGAGAGGGAGGGATGGACGGAGGGAGGGAAGGAGGGAGAGCGAGAGGGAGAGGGAGAGAGAATGTTCACCAGAGCCTCTCTTCTTTGCCCTAACATCATTTCAGGACAAGGGTTAGCTACAGGGTAGATGAAACCACCCAGGTGGGTGTGACACAAGTCTTTCACCATCTCTGTAGGTGGCTTTAGGGTAAAGAATGAAATAACCTGGTTTGACACTGCCAGCTACCATAATCTTTATGTAAGTTTGTGGTTCCACACACCTGGTATTTCAAGGGTTCGCCTGTATCCCTCTTAAAGTTTGACCTTGTGGGCACAGAGGCTTCCCTGTCAGTGTCCCACGTGGTGATCTGAAGAACCCCACTTCTGTCACTGCCAAAGTGAGTGTGTGTGTGTGTGTGTGTGTGGAGAACCACAGTATACCTTGACACTTTAAGAAATAAAAAGATGACAGTTAGCAAGAGTAAAGAATATTCTATCCAGGTGTTAGAACATTGTAGGCCCACACCTGTAATCCTTGCTACTCAGGAGGTTGAGATCTGAGGATCATGGTTCAAAGTGAGCTGCAGCAGGAAAGTCTATGACACTATTATGTCTAATTGTACACCCAAAAGCCAGAAGTGGAACTGTGGCTCAAGTAGTAGAGTATTAGTCTTGAGCAAAAAAGCTCAGGAACAGCACCCAGGCCCTGAGTTCAATCCCCAAGACCACCACTATCACTACCAACAAAAAAACCCTAAATCCCAAACACCAAAGCCAGCCTGGGCTAAACAGACTTTGCCTCTAAAAAAGATAAACAAACACACAAACACATATTCCTTCCCATCTCTGGGGGTGGGGTCCAGGCCACAGCCATCCTCACTGTGCAGGGAGTCCCAGTGAATCTCAGCTGGTGAGAGTCTAGCAGAACTTCCAGTGGATGTGACCCAGTGCTCTCACAATGGAGTCCCCAAGGGCATCATTTCAGAATTGCACATTCTCAAGCCCTGCCTCACACACTGAACAGGCTGCTGTAGGGCGGGCCAGCCTGCTGGGCTATGTTCTAACCTGCTTCCCTTCCATGTGGCGAATGTCAGATTTGAGATGCCAGGCATAATGGATGGGTTGCTGGCAACACCTGAACCCACTGACCAGTCTCAGCACCGTACACTGCCCAATGCAAAGCCAAAGTCAAAGCCAAAGAACATGACATTCCTTATGAAGCTACATGACTAAGAAATGGAACCCACCATGGCCGAGCCGCTGCCTGTAACTGTGCACAGGGGGTATGGAGAAATGCCCCTCCATAAGGAAGGGATCAGCAAACTCTAGACTACAGGAAACCCTCTGCATTACATTATCATGCACCTGTGTGTGTGTGCGTGTGCGTGCATGTGTGCGCGCGTGTGTGTGTGTTGGTACTAGGACTTGGACTCAGGGCCTCACAATCTTGCTTGTTTTTTTGTTTTTGTTTTTTTTTCCACTTAGAGCTGGTTCTGTACCACCCAAACAACACTTGCACTTCTGACTTTTTTGATTAACTGTTGGTAAGAGTCTCTGGGATTTATCTGCCTGGGCTGGCTTTGAACCTTGATCTTCAGTTTTCAGCCTCCTGGGTAGCTAGGATTACACAGGTGGGACCACTAGCACCTGGCTCATTATCTACTTCTGATAGGAATTCAAACTGGATCAAAGAAGACTAAAAACTTAAAGCACAAGGCAAAAGCTTGACGACACTGGATTTGGCAATGATTTCTTTGCTATGTCACCAAAAGCAATGCAAAAAATGGACAAATTGGACTTCATGAAAATCAAAACTTGTTTCTCAGGGATATATTTTTTTGGGGGGTTCCAGTCATGGGCCTGAACTATGGGCCTGGGCGCTGTCCCTCAGCTCTTCACCTCAAGGCTAGCACTCTACCACTTGAGCCACAGCACCACTTCCGGCTTTTTTTTCCTACTTATGTGGTGCTGTGGAGTTGAACCTGGGACCTCATGTGTGCAAGGCAAGGGCTCTACCATTGAGCCACCTTCCCAGCCCCCAGGGATATTTTTTAACACAGTAAAAATGCAACCTGCCAGAGGAGGATACTCTTATGGGAGGAACACAAAGACACGGTGCCTCTGTGCCTCTGATCATATAAAATTATATTTATCAGTGAACTCTAGGGGGAAAAAAGGCAACCTGTGGAATGGGGGATACACAGAATACATACAGAACTCTCAAAACTCAACAACAAAGTAAAAGAGCAAGCCAGGCATGATGGCTCATACCTGCAATCCTAGCTATTCACATATCTGCAATCTTAGCTACTCACACACCTGTAAGCCTGGCTACTCACATACCTGTAATCCTAGCCACTTACACAACTGCTACTTAGAAGGATGAGAGCAGGAATATCATGGTTTGAGGTCAGCCCAAGCAAATAGTTCATAAGTCACTATTTCAACCACTATCCAGATGTGGTGGTACATACCAGCCATCCTAACTACACAGGAGGTGTAAACAGGAGGATGGTAGTCCAGGACAGCCTAGAGACAAATTAGAGATCCTATTGGAAAAGTAAAAGGTCTGGAGGCATGGCTCAAGTAGTAGAGTGCCTGGATAGCAAGGATAGGCCCTGACTTCAAATCCTAATACTACAAAAAAGAAGGGGCAAAAGACCTGAGACAGTTCTCTAGAGAAGATATACTAATGACCACAGAGCATATAAAAATATGCCCAATATCATTATTGTTAGAGAAATACAAATAAAAACCACACACAGATCAGATTCTGTGACAGGTATGTGCTGTGAGCCTCAAATTGGGGGAGTCTAGGTTAACAAAAAGCCCAATGTGTGCCAATGCCACCTCACATCCATTGGGATGGCTGGAGATTGAAGCCAGGGCCTTGCCCAGGCTCGGCAAGTGCTCTACTGCTGAGCTTCACCCCCATGGATGGCTGTGACAAAAGCAAAAATAAAAACCCAGAAAAATCACAAGTGCTGCTGAAGAATTGGAGAACTGGTGGGAATCTGTGCAACCGCTGTGGAAAACAGTACCATGATGGATAATTCTTCACAAATTGAACTAGAATGACCAGCATTTCCACCTTGGAATATATATCCTGAAGAATTCAAGGTAGGAGGTTTGGGATATGGCTCAAGTCATAGCTCATCTGCCTAAGTGTGAGGTCCTGGGTTCAAAAGCCAGTAGCACCATAAAAAGTAAGCCTGTAACAGAATACAAATGTATTGTGCACACCGACACTCAGATACCACATAAATATTATATAATCTCTAAAAAAAGAATTGCCGAGCGCCAATGTCTCATGCCTATAATGCTAGCTACTTAAAAGGTTGAGATCTAAAGATCAAGTTCAAAGCCAGCCTGGACAGACAAATCCTTAGATTTTCCAATTAACCAGCAGAAAGCTGGAAATGGGGGTATGACTCAAGTATAGAACAACACCCTTGAGCAAAATAACTGAGGGCTCAAGGTCTATTACTATTACTGGCACCCAAAACCAAACCAAACAACTAATCAAAATTAGCACTGGGCATAGTGGTACATACCTGTAGTCCCAGCTACCCAGGAAGCAGAGGCAGGAAGAGCTCCTTTAATCACAGCCAGCCTAGGCAAATAGTGAGGACCTGTCTGGAAAACAAAAC